GCCGCCGCCGCGGCAGCAGCAGCAGCGGAGGCGCGGGGCCCGGCTAAGAAGGCCAAGAGCAAGTCCGCTCTGGCGGCGGAGGCGGCGGCGGCCGCCGCGGCCGCGGCGGAGGCGCAGCTGGCCCCGCTCCTGGCGCGCATCAATGGAGAGCTACTGCCGGGCATTCCGGAGGCGGCTGTAGCTGCCGGAGCCGCATCCGCCACTGCTACCTCCGCGGCGGTGTCTGGAGGTGTACGGCAGGAAGTGGGGGAGGTTGAAGAGCGGGAAGCGAAGCGCTGTAGATCAGGGGAGTAAGGGGCAGTAAGGGGAAGACGGGGGTTAGCCCCGCGTGAGCGGGGGAGGGATTCTTGGTGTGTGTATGTGTGTGTATGTGTGTGTGTATGTGTGTGTATGTGTGTGTATGTGTGTGTATGTGTGTGTATGTGTGTGTATGTGTGTGTATGTGTGTGTATGTGTGTATGTGTGTGTATGTGTGTATGTGTGTGTATGTGTGTGTATGTGTGTGTATGTGTGTGTATGTGTGTGTATGTGTGTGTATGTGTGTGTATGTGTGTGTATGTGTGTGTATGTGTGTGTATGTGTGTGTATGTGTGTGTATGTGTGTGTATGTGTGTGTATGTGTGTGTATGTGTGTATGTGTGTGTATGTGTGTGTATGTGTGTGTATGTGTGTGTATGTGTGTGTATGTGTGTGTATGTGTGTGTATGTGTGTGTATGTGTGTGTATGTGTGTGTATGTGTGTGTATGTGTGTGTATGTGTGTGTATGTGAGGATCACCCGGGGGACGGAAGTGGGGAGTGGGAGCAGAGTGCCGTCATATGTGTGTTTGTGTTTGGGTTTCGGAACTTGGTCGTTTTTTCCCCGGGTCAACCGGATTGACCATCAAAAGGGGTGGTGCGCCCATGTTTGGGCAAACAGCGGGACGGGAGGAGAGAGAGCCCGTTTTCTGTGTGTGTATTTGGGTGACTGTGGTGTGAGGCACCGGCGTACGGCAGTGTAAAAGAGGGATATTATGACGATGTGAAGCCCTCTTGGTGAGGTGACTGGTCAAAGGAACCAACCACTTCAACCGCTCAACCACCTAACCGTTGTGGTCATCATAATCATGTCGTGCTTTTACTTGCAAGGTGCGGTGTGTAAGTCATGGAACAGGACATAATGTGCATGCGCTCGGGATCGATATGGGAACTACAGTTACAGCTGTACCTGCGTTGCATCCCAAGGTAAGTGCTGTGCATGCATGCTAAAGTTTGCTGTGCGTACTGCACTGCTGCCTCCACAAAATACGGCACAGACTTCCGTACGGGTAGCAAAACCCTAATTTATTTATTAGCGGACGGAACGGAGTATCTTTAAAGCGACAACAAGCAAGGAAACAAATCCCGGTCTTTCGCGACCCAGGAGGGCCGAGTTCTCCATTGCGACTCTCTCTTATCATCATCATCCAGGCTGGGGGCGAACATTTCTTGGCTTCGACCGTCGTACAGCTATTTCTGCCGGTTCAACATGCTTCGACATCGCCAAGCGAAGTATGTGTGTAGAGATGTGCGAGTAGTAAGTTATTACGAAGGGGAACTGCCGTGGTGCGTGGAAGCAGGGCGCATGCATGCACGCATGTGACGGACATATGTACGGCAGGGGACTCCAAGAGCTTCTACTTGGGTCGCAAAGGCTCCCGGGTTCTCAACAAACTGGCGTTGTTTTGACTATTACCTACCAAGAGGTGTGTTTAGGTCCCGCTGCTGGGACAGTGGCCTCTGGTTTTTCCCCCACGCAACCCCCCGCAGGTCAGCATCATATTACACATTGTCCTACTTTTTTGGTCTAATCTCGGAGTATCCGTCTGTGTTTTTCCTTTTTCGTCAACCGCCTGTGCTTCGCCGTGCCCCCCTCCTCCCCACCCCGGCCAATCCCCTGGAATTGCGACAACGCAGCGGTCCCTGGTTTTGTCGCTGCTGGCCCGGGGTGGGTCGCCCGGGGTGGCTCTTCAGCACGTCGGGGCCCTTTAGGTCGGGGGGGGGTACTATTTATCGGTGCAACACAGGTAACTGTCATTACTATCTGCCACTGGTGCAACTTTCACAATGGGTTGGTGTTGGGAGGGGGTTTTGCAACCGGGTTGTGTGTTTTGCTAACAAGCTGCCGGCTGGCGGCTGCCGGCTTAGCTACTGTTACGCGAAATACGGCAGGACCGAGCAATAACAACACGAAACATCGGAAATCAGGAAACACTATATATTTTATGGTTATTTTGCGTGTTGTTGTTAAAACTGCTGTTAAAGACTGACACCAGTTTGCGGTAAGGTGTCGAAAATTGTAAAATGGCTTGCGGCCATGACTTTAAGGAAATGTGCTTGTCTACGCCCGCAGTCCCCTCCCACGCCTCGACACGGTCACTGGTCCAACACCAATCCCCAACCAGCAACCTTTTGAGTTTGTCTTAAGTGTTTATAAAGTCCTCAACTTTGTTGATTCCCTTCGTCGGCTTTGGATTGTTACCTAAGGGACGTGTATGCGAACAAAAAATATGGTGCTCGGTGGTTTCAGTGCAAGTGCAGGTGCTCACAAGCTATTTTTATGGTTCGCGACGAAAGGCCTTTTGTTGAGATTAGTGTAAAATACTATTATTATACAAATGAATGGCAGGATGGATGTGGTTGTTATAATGACGGTTGCAAAGTTAGTTAAGGCCCGAAACCTGCCGTATGCAACTTGAAACCAGGGACATCGTCTCTTGCTTCTTATTATTGTTGAAAAAGGGAGTATGCGGCAGCCAGCAAAACGTTCACCTTCCCACGCACATTCAAACCTCCTTTCTCATCAAGGCAGTACACAACATACGCGCCGGGTACGCCGTACAAGTGTACGAACACCCGTACGGTCGCACACGATTCTCCAATGATTATTATTCACAAGGCACAGCGCCCCGCTCTCAGCGCTTTTAGCCAGCATACATGTAAAATACACGTTTCTGGGATGTATTGAATTCCGCCAAAACAACGCCGATGAAAATTCATTCTTCGCGCCTCAAGCGCGGCCGTGTTGCTTCTTGTCGCATTATGTAGTGGACAGGGGTAAAGCCCTTGATGCCTATCACCACCTAATGCCCAACCGCGCCACCACCCTACACAAAACCCCCCCGGGGGACCCCCCAGTTCGGTTTCCTCTCAACGAAATCCTCCCAACTTCACCTTAAACAAAACCCTCATGCATGTACGAACCCATACATGTACGACCGAACAGTTCAAAATGTTAATAATTCCCCTTCCCCCAAAACACACACACACACACACGCACTGCCCTCACATAACCAGGCAACCCGGCGCGCCACCTGCCAGGAAACTCCCCATCCAACCCCCCAATTGCTGATTCAACTGCCGTAGCCGTACGGCCGTATCCGTACCGCGCAGCATCTCTGCCTTGCGCAGCTCCGGAACCACCAAACCCGCCACGTTGACCTGAGGGGAAGACACCGGAGGGGGGGGGAGGCAGTGTCGTAAGACGAAACACAACACACAACAGCCGCCGATCGTCATGAAAACAAAGCAGCGTTATCCAGTGAGGCATCACCTTCCAGTGGAGAGAGACTGCTCTTGCCCTCTGACAACTCACTAAGTAACATGCGTTCAGCGCTGCCTTGCCTTGGCCTTCTAAACACACACAACCCCCCCGGGTATGTGTCAAGGTGTTTAAACTCCGAGAGCTCTCTCCCCCACAAAAGCAGCAAAATCCCCCAAACCCCCCAAGCATCCCCCAGTCCCCGGCGAAGGCAAAAAACCCACCACCCAGAAGCTGTATCGCTCCGGCTGCTCCAGGGGAGGTCGCTCTCCCAATCCGTCTAGTGCGGCACGGATACGGAGCCCCTGATGGCCGTACGCCGGGCCCGAGTGCGAGCGCAGGAACCCTAGAAGCCGCTCCACTTGCCGGTCCAGCTGGGGGGGGGAGCGTGTATGTGTGTGCGTGTGTGCGTGTGTGCGTGTGTGTGTATGTACGGGGGGTGAAGTGGGGTTGGAAGTGGAGCTGCAGAAACACATGACATGCATGAAGCACAAAAGTCAACAGCCGACAGATGCGGGCTGTGGTCAGGTAGCTGCCCCAAGGGGTTGACGGCGATTGCACCTTCGGGGGCCGGGGGGTGGGGGACAGAGGGGAAAACAAAACCCCAGCGCTGCAGTGCTGTACAGCAGCGTCCTGATCTTGATCAATTACATTCATCAGTTGTGTTGTAGATCAGTCGTATTAAATACAACCCCATCTTCGAATGCCTCCCTGTCCGGCTACCCCTATTTCCCCCCCGACCCAATAACCCTATTCGCGTCGGCGTCGGGGTTTACACGGCGTGTGCGTTTGTACCGCACCGTACACATAATACACGCATGGCTCCTAAAAACGCACATATGTACGCGCATACATACACAGTTCATAATAATAATACATACACGCATGCACACGTACCTGCGCCACAAGCTCCGGAAGCGCCTCGTACTCGGGAGTCCCTGGTCGTGGCTCCGTGTCCTGAGTCGATGGCGTCACAGATGGGAATCACACACCGCGGCAGGGGGCACCAACCCAACCACTAAAAACGAGGGAAGCCAGATCACGACCGCAGCTCAAACCGGACCCAGGAGATTGAACCAACCCCAGAAGGAGGAGGAAAACCAAAATCAGACGAGGATGGAATAGGATACTCGGGACAGAACCAACCGCCAACTGCCAACTACCGGTGTCGCTAAGCGCCTGCATCACTGAGTAGCAGTACATGTATGTGGATATGCCCCAGCGGGAGGGGAGTGCTGGGGGGAGGGAAACACGTCATGAGAGCGGACAGAGCGACATACAGACCGCGGTGGAGGGGTGGAACCCGGATAGGGAGGGGGGAAGAAACCGCCCCGAACGGACTTTAGGTGGTCTTTCCGTTGGGGCTGGGTAGCAGCCCCTGTGGCCAGTGTCATGCCCGGTCAGATACTTGTAACCTTCACACACGCACAGGCACATAAACATACACACATACACACATACACGCACGCACGCACCTGCAACACCTCACACCTTGCAACGCGATATCCGTCCAGTTCGCTGTGGCTGCGGATGCGAACACGCCGCCTGCCAACCAACTCCAGGTAGTAACGACTAGCGGCGGTTGAAAAACGGTTGCAACGGTACGGAAATCGGAAGTTAAGCATTGGTAGTTACGGTTGTTAGGTTCAAATACGGTTTTCACTTGGATATGGTTAGGGCCCGGGGGTTCGACTGGCGATGAACTTGTTTCCCAATCACCCCTTCGCCCCTTCACACACATATATACACACACTCTTTCTCACACACACACACATCGTTTGAACCGAGCTTTCTAATTGGACCTCGTGCCTTAGAAGAGAGGGGTGGGGTATGTGCAGGGTTTCCGGGTTTCCTCTGTCTTAGAAGTGAACCCTCACCCCAAGAGCCGGATCAGGCCGGGGAGGGAGAGGAGTCGTGTGGCGTGTTTCAGAGGCTCAGTGAACGCAAACTCGCGTGACGGAGCCTCTTGACTCGGGAGAGCGTGCGCGCGTGCGACGGCCCCCACCCCTACCCCCGGGGGGGGGGAGGAGAGCGAAGCTAGCGGACCTGCGGCTCTCGGCTGCTTAGGAGGGGGCAGAGGCCCCCCTAGCGCCCCTCTCCCGTCCGCGGGAGAGAGCTTAGGCGGTCTTTCCATTGGGGCTGGGCAGCAGCCCCTGGCCAGTGTCAGGCCCGGTCAGATACTTGTAACGTTCACGTACAACACACACACACACACTCACATGTGATGCACGCACTGCCCTGGGAGTTATGTGCATCACTGTGTGAACATACATACGTGTAAACAGAATATGTAAACAGAATATGTATATACATCCACACTAAATACAAACATACATACACACACATATCCTCCCGCCTGCAGGTGGCTCGCTCACTCACCGGGGGGGCTGTGTTGCCTGTACAGGCCACTGCACCCCAGGTGTGCTCACACCTCTGGTTTCACAGATGATAAGGTTGTTGGAAACTGGACCTTGCACACCGCATACTGCCACACAGACTGGATGGCTGGGTGGCGTGGGAGCCTCCGACGACCAGCCTTCCTTCCGCCGACTAGCCCTCCCTCCTCTCTCCCTGAGCCAGCTCACCCTCACCGCGGCCCCGCCTCCCCGCCCCCCTCCCAACACACACACAAATCTCTCCCCCTCCACACACACCCCACTACTGACCCATCGGGTTGCGGCTGGCACTCAATGATCTCCGCCTCCACCGCAACATCCTCGATCTCGCCCGCGTCACGACGAGCCTGGGAGCAGGAGGGGGGAGGAAGAGAGACGGGGGGAAGAGAAGACTGTGACATACATACATACATACGCACGTACATACATACGCACGTACATACATACATATGTGCATACGCCCTCTCTAACGGCTGTGCTCGTTCGTTGCAATGGGAGCAAAGCACACACAGACACGCACAGACATGCACATAGACACATACAGACACGCAAACAAACATACGCACACACACAGACACACGCACAGACTCACACGCGTCAACAACACATAGACGCATTCGCTTCCCCTCCCCCACCTCTTCCGGTGCCGCTCCCTCCCTCCCTCTCTCCCTTCCTCCCTCCCTCCTCTCTCCCTCCCTCCCTCCTCTCTCCCTCCCTCCCTCC